TTTATTTTTTTAAATTTATTTGTTTTGCATTCATTCACTGAGCATCAACACAGCACACAACTTCGTCACAAGTGACTGACCTTGTTTTTCTGAGTTCCTCCCTTCAAAGATTGCTAACTCAGTCTACTGTTGCCACCAAAACCGAGGACGGAATGCATGGGAGACTACAGCAGCCAGACATAACATCCAGAAATAATAAGACGTCCCCAGGGTAACTGATGTCCTGTCCCAGGATCATGCTAATTTTTGGACCATAACTCCTCTCCCCACCCTTTTCCTCAAGACCCGCTAAGAGCTCCTTCCCCCTGCTCTTCAGGGACAATGCAGCTCTCCACATCTGTCTCCTTTTCTCTCTCAGAGAGTAAATACACTTTTTCTGTCTGCTTTCTCTCTGAGTTTGTGAATCCCTTCACAGCACATGACAAAGACCACCCTAACAAAATGTGTTGCCGAAATAGACTCCTCAGTGAGGTTGTGGTTTATTTACAAGAACTCAACTATTAATATATGAATATGGAGGCCTTCTCAGGCCAAAGTGGTTTGGTTTAATATGATAATAATAATTTCACATAATCTAGCCCAGGCTCCAAACTTTTTAAACCATGCTTTTCTATCACTACTCACAGACTTTCAGACCAGGTGCCACTGGGCATGTTAACATCGCAGTATGGGGACTAGCAGGTGGCATAGTGGTTAAAGGCACTGAATTCCCACATGGCCTGCTATGGTTTGAGTCCTGGACCTAGTGACTTGCTTTCTTGCTTTCACTTTCTCTCTCTCTGTATGGTCAAATTAAAATAATAATAATAATAATAATAGTAACAAATGAAATTAAATGAATAAATAATTCTTTTTTGTTTATAAATTATATTTTGTTTTCTGTAGTTAACAATATCAGTGTTTCATCATACTATAATATTTTTAATTTAAATTTGTTTATTTACATTCATTCACTATATATCATTACAGCATACAAAATGAGATTTCCCATCCAGAATACACTGTATATTGGCTCAATCAAGCACATCAACATACGTGTTATCAAGAAATAATTTTCCATTTCTTATTTTCTGTATATTTTTATTTTTTTTTCCATCCTTGATTCCCTATCCCTCCCCCTCTGCTGTGTCCCCCCCCCACCTGGGTATCCATACTTGCTTTCTATGCATTTCCCCCTCCATTTAATTGATTTACTAACAAACTTAATTAGTCTAAATATTTCCAATAGCAAGCGCAGCTGATATACACATATGAACACAAATCTGACTTTAGGCATAAACCTCAGTAAGAAGAATGAACATACTATAAAGTAGCACCTAGCTGGGGCTATATAGCTTACTGCAGTCATCAAATA